GCACGTATACACAACGAAATATTACTCAGCAATAAGAGAGAATAAAATCATGGCATTTGTAGGTAAATGGATGGAGTTAAAGAAGATAATGCTAAGTGAAGTTAGCCAATCCCAAAAAACCAAAAGCCGAATGTTTTCTTTGATATAAGGAGGCTGATTCATAGTGGGATAGGGAGAGGGAGGATAGGAGGATAAAAATAACTCTAGATAGAGCAGAGTGGTTAGAGGGGAAGGGAGGGGGCATGGAGTTATTAATGATGGTGGAATGTGATGATCATTATTATCCAAAGTACATGTAGAAAGACACAAATTGATGTGAATATACAACCAGAGATGGTGCTATGTATGTGTAATAAGAATTGTTATGTATTCTGATGTCATATATATACATTTTAAAAAACTTAAAAAAAAGCTTTTGCTAGAATAGTATCTGCTAATACCCCAGTTAGTCACATCATCAAACTCAGAGTCAAGGGGTAGAAGTATGTCTACCCATGAGCCAAGAGCATTATGATGATATAGGAAAGGGTATGGATAAAAATTAGGAACAAAAATGCAAATTAACATAACCTTATAGTCCCTCAAGTACTTAACAGTAAGACTTTGAGAGATGTACTTAATTTCTCCTTTACTTTATATCTAACTGTTCATCAAATTCTATAGATCCTCCAAACAAAATAATTGCAGGCCATCTGCATTCTTTTTTTCTGTCTAGATGCTCATTCTCTTTAAATAAAGTTTTAATGTTGGGAGGAAGGTATTGTATTAAAAAGGCAATGTCCTTCAATTCTTTTTCTGACAGAGACAAAAAAAGGTAAGTACACTGAAAAGTACAGTACACTGGTGAAACTCAATTTTTGTCTTCAGTGCTAATATTTCAAATGCCCACTTGACATTTCTGTTTAGGTGTCTAATAGACACTTCAGTTAGATATATTCAGAAAATATTTAATGTACACACTGTGTTAGGTTTGACCAAAATACCCAAAGATAACAATGGAGAGGAGTAAAAGTTTATTTTGGCTCATGGTCTCAGAGGTCTAGTCCATTCCTCTGGGCCCAACTGAGGCAGCAAATCATCATAGAAGCGGGTGGTGGAAGACATGGAGGCTAGGAAGGAGACAGAGGAAAGTAGGAAGGAAGTCACAGGGAAGATGAATCCTTCCAGGGCACTTCCCCAGTGACCTACCTCCTTCAGCCAAACCCCAGCTGCCTACAGTTACCATGCAATCCATTCACACTAGGACGGACCAATTAGAAGGTTAAAGCTCTCACAATCCAATCATTGCACCTCAGAACATTCCTGCACTAACACAGGAGCTTTTAGGGAACACCTTATATACAAACCACACCACACACCAAACAAGTTCCCTCTCTAGTCCTTCTGATTCCAATACACTGCACCATTTTCCACCTGGATACTCAAAAGCCAAAAAGTTATTCTTAATTTTTCTATTTCCCTTACTCCACAATTTACTTCCCAACAAAATGTGAGAATTGGTTCTCTAACATAAATCCCTACATTTACTTCTGGACAATCTTTGTAGTATGGCCTAATTTCTAGTTCATCTTCCTATTTTCATTCTTGTCATTCTCTTAGGCTCCATTTATCAGGAAGAAGGATCTTTTAAGACATTTATCATATGACGCTACTTCCGTGCTCAAGATTCTCCAGTGGTGTCCCATTGCATTAATAATAAAATTCAATTTCACTGAAATGGCTTATACGGTCTTATATGCTCTAGTACCTATCTACTTTGCTATCTTTCCCATCTATTATTTTCCCTTCTTTTAGCCCCCTTTATGTTTATTAAATATGCCTAATTCCTTCCTAAGAGAATTTGTAATTGTTAATCCATCTACCTTAAAATTCTCAACCCTGGGCTGGGGATATAGCTCAGTGGTAGAACAATTACCTAGCAAGCACGAGGCCCTGGGTTCAATCCCTAGCACCACATTATAAAAAATTCTCTAACCCTACTGGGTATTTGTCACAATTCAGCTTTATTACTATTCCTCCAAATAGTCTTCCTTGATTCAAAAATATAAATTAACCACCCTTTCTCCTCCCCAAGTTACTCTCTACACATTACCCTATTTTATTTTCTTTGGAACCCATCAGTCTCTAAAATTTTATATATATATATATATTTTTTAAGAAAACTTCTTTATTTTTTGTCTCCCCTAACTATAAAGTAACTCTCCAGCTGTAGGAATCTTTTCTGTCTTTATCACCATGTTTCCAATGCTTAAGAGAGTACTAGCACAAAGTAGGTACTCAGTAAGTGTTTATTAAGTGAGTGATGCATATGGTCAGGAAAGAGACAAGTGTTCTGTCAGTCACATTAGGATATCAACTCTATTTATTAATACAGGGAGAGGAGATGAACACTACTTTGGTCATCATACTCTCTCTTTTCTGAACTAATGTTACAGGTTGTTAAATTTTATTACTAGCTTTAAGATCTTTTTCCTTCAATACATCCATCCTTAAACTACTACCACTATTCCTTCCTCTTCTTCCTCCTCTTAATCAGGCTCTTCTTTTTCATCCTCTCCTCCTCTTCTTTTTGCTTTATCGTCTCCTTTTTCTCACTCTTATTTGCTCCTTTGCTTTAGCTTTTTGAGGCAAAATAGCTATAAAGAAACCATACATACTGAAGTTCGAATTTGATGAGTTTTTTATGTTCATGAAGTCATCATGACAATTAAGAAAATAAACATATCCATTACCCCCAAACATTTTCTCCCTTTTTTTTCCTTTTCTTTTCGTTTTCCTTCTTACCTAACTTCCTTCCTTCCTAGGAATTTTCCTTCCAAGGAATTTTCCTGGCATGAGGTTATTCAAGTGTTCCTCTAGTATCTGATAAAGAATTTTTTTCTTTTCTTCTTTCTTTTTTCTTTTTCTTTCTTTCTTTTTTTTTTTTTTTTGGAATGAGGTAACTCTCAATGGGATTCTAGATAGCTTCAGGATGGGGATTGGCTATCAGGAAGGCCAAGACCTGATTAAAGTTCTGGAACTCAGCCTTATCTACACTGCTCCAACCTCTTGGGAGAGGAGAGAGGCTAGAAGCTGAGCTAATAATAAATCAAGCTTACATGATGTAAACTCCATAAAAAAAAATCTCTTAAATGATGATGAATTTTGGAGACCTTCCAGGTTGGTGAACACCTCCAGGTTCTGGGAAGGTGGTGTGCTCCATATGGCAGCTCTATGCAAGTCCCTTCCCAGCACCTTGTCCTGTGCATCTTCTCGGTTTGGCTGTTCCTGAATTGTATCTTTTATAATAAACTAGTAATAGTAAGTAAAGTGCTTTCCTGAGTTCTGTGATTCACTCTAGCAAATTATTAAGCCTTGAGTATGGATGGGGGGTAGACATGAGAAACCCTCGTTGTGGTCTGGATCTTTATTTTCCCTGAAGTCTCATTTCTTGAAGGCTTGGTCCTCAGTACAGCAAGGTTCAGAGGTGGGCTTTTGGAAAATGATTGATGGTGAGGGCTCTGATGTCATGGAGGGAATAATCCACAGACAGCTGCATGGACTACTGGGAGGTGGCAGAAACTAAAGGAAGATGGGGCATTTGGGAGGATATAGATCACTGGGGCACGCCCTGGGGACTATCCATCCTAGGCGCCTACTTTTCTCTGTGCTTTCTGACTGCCATGGGATAAGGACCTTTCCTCTGCCACACTTTCTTCCATGACATTCCTGCCTTGGAGCCAGCTGACCATGGATTGAAACCTCTGAAACCATGAGCCAAAACAAAGCTTTCCTATTCTAAGTTATTTTTTTCAAGTATTTATGATAGTGATAAAAAAAAACTGACTAAAATACCCCTGATTTATAGTCAGTTGGTCAGATGAGTGTATAAGTAGTCTGGGAATTATAATTGACATTGGAAATCGGGAAGCCTTGTGGGGATGATTCCTTTAACTTGTGAGATCTGATGCTAACCCAAATAATATAAGAATTTAATTGAACTGTTCAATATGCAGTTGGGATTGGGGGAATCAGAAAATTGTTTGTTGTGTTGGAAAATATCCAAAGTAGTATAAGACTTCCAACATTGTTCTTCAAAATTATTTTGGTGTTCTAGGTCCTCTTTTGTATTTCCATACAACTTTTAGAAATCAGCCTGTCAATTACACAAAGAGCCAGCAAACAACAACAAAACCTTTTGGTATTTTGACTAGTATTAGTTTTAATCTATAAGTAAACCTAGGAGAACTGACATCATAACGCAGTGGTGTCTGATTTACAGCATACTGTCTGTCTCCATTTATTTAAGTGTTGTTTAATTTTTCTCATCATTATTTTGCATTTTCAACATATAGATTTGATAAACCTTATGTCAAAATGATCGCTAAGTATTTCATAGTTTTGGTATTATTGTAAGTGGCATTTATTCTAAATTTTTAATTTCTGAAAATTATAGAATTTTATATATTTCTGCCAATATATAGAAAGACAATGGTTTTATATTCATTTATTTAGTCATATTCACAAAATGCAGTTACATTTAGTTATGCTGCATGCAAAGACCAAGAATGGCTTCCATGTTCCTGATAGTGGGCTGTTGAATATATTGTAGAAGGCAAGGGATAGGGAGAGGGTGCTTGAAATGTTCACTGACAACTAATTTTTCACAAGCCATACCTTTTAAAACACTGGCTTACAATGTAAGCTTCATTAAATTCAGTATTTTAGGAAAAATTATCAAATTAAATGAATTTAAAATGATTCTATATGACATGTTAGGTTTCATACACTTTTCTATAGTTACAATGACATTGGTGAATCTTTATACTGTATTGGAAATATAAAATATTCCATAAACCTGGAATACTCATATGGATTTTACTTAGAACAGAAAAACTGAAAGAATGAGTAGGAATTTGAAATTGATTCCCAATATGAAGTTCTCTTAAAACCTTCTGAAACTAATAATATTTTGAAGACATTTAAAAGATTATATGAAATAAGTTACCTGCAAATGAAACAGAACGTTTTTGTTTCTTTCTATTTCTGATGTTTATGATTGTTGTTGTTTTGCAACTTGCTCTACAACTTCAGTTAATGATGATGTATATCTTGTTTACCCACAGTTAGACAAAAGAATAAAATGTATGAGAAGAACTAAATACAGACATTTTAAGACACTTATATTTCTTTACTGGAACATGAAAAATTAGGTGTTTTTTTTCTGATTTATAAGAAAAGTACATTTAGGATTGGTAATCCTCCCTGATTCTAGACAAAACAAAAATCAAAGACAATAATAGTAGGAAATTCAAAGTTGCCTACTGCAAATGCCATAACTGTTCTTTTATGGAAGAGTATAAATATTTTGATTGTCCTAATATTTTTTTATCTGGACCACTTGCACATATACTATAATTATAGCGCCACCACAACAACTCAATAGCAATTATAGTTGATGGATTTTAAACATAAGCCTGTATTTTCAGGTTGTTATGCCTTTTCTAAACACTGAGTATGTTTCTTCCTGGTGAAATATAACTGCCTCCTTCTACTTTAATTTATTATTCCTGCTAATATAATTATCCTTTTGTACAATTTTTGTTGATGATCTTTTAATTATTTATTTCTTAAGATTGATTCACTACCTTCTTTAGGAATTCCTTCACTCTTCCTTTCCTTACTTCCTGACATTCTCATTGTCTGTAATCTCCTCTTTTCCACAGTCTGGCTCACCTTCTTTATTCCTACAAAAACATCTATATGTTATAAATTGTCAAACATGTCACAGGAATGCAATGACATTTCACTCCTGGTACCAGTAATTAAAAGACAATGATTAAGTGAGAGATTTGGGAAGGAAAGTTGAACCGTATTTGAATCTTGGTTCTCTTGCTTTTCAGCTGTTATGACTCGGAATAATTTTCTTCTTTGATTCACAGTGCCCTCATCTCTACACCCTCATAGGGTTGTTGTAATAATTACCACACACGCGCACGCACACACACACACACACACACACACACAATTGGTGAGAATCAGTTCTAATAGCACTCCTGTCCAGTGTCATTTTGGTCAGGGTAAGACCTAAGCAGGTTGAAAATCATGTGCCAGTGTACTTGAGTTAGGAATAACTGATAAGATGAAGGAGTACATATTTTTCTCCATTGAAAGATGAAGAGAAAATTGTTCCAACACAACAATGCTGAGTTGGCAGAAGTAAGGGCATTATTGGCTTTAGGACAAAAGGTCTCCAAATCTGCCTGTCCATTCCTACTCAGAGAAAATGGTTCAATTTTTTATGATATGTAAATGGAATCCACTGTCAATAAGTACTTTTGAAATTGGAAGTTGCCATCTCCCATTAAACATAAGGGTTTTTCTATTCAGATGACTGATCCTTCTTAAAAAACTCTTCATTGATTTATATAGAAACTGTGCATCTTCACAAATTGTACTCAGGTGATTACAAGCTTTGCAAGAATAAAAAAAGAAAGAAAGAAATATCATAAAGTAAGAAACATGCTAGTAAATGTTTAAAATCACTAAATATGTTTTCTAAAAATTATAGACAAAGTACTCATGTATTAGTCACACATGTTTTAAAGGATTAAAACATGATATATAAACAAAAAGAGAGAAAAATATAGTTAAATTGCTTCCTACCTGGGGAGATTTAAGTCTATTCAGAATATCCTACCATGCAAAAGAAAGTCTGAGAGCTTAACTAGCAGATTTTTATAATCACCCCTGAGAATTTATGATTCTTTCCTGTCTCTTCAGGTCACTTCCTTCATATATCACCTCAAATGTACCACTTTACTGAAGTCTTTCCTGATGCTGAGTCCATTTACTCCATTCATGTCATTATTCTAAGTCCTTTCCTCCTAGCACACAGAACTGTCCCAGATCAGTGCTAACAAATCCAAATCTGATTTTCTCCTGAACTCTTTAGTTAGCCTCTCATGCTCACAGACAACATCCTTAATTCTGCCTACCTAACGTGAAAATGCATGCCTTTATGCTAATAGTCAGCCAAGTATATGATGCATGGCACTTTTGGTTGAAAGGTGACGCCAGCTAGCCATTGAGATGATATGATTATGTTAAGATTTGCATTCATATGGATATTGGACTCCTGCTGTTCACCTCTGCTACGGGACTCCTTTTAAACAATTTTGCTCATCATTTGGCATTACTCACATAACAGGAATTCCATACAATCCACAAGGACAAGGCATAGTTGAAAGAGCTCATCAAAATATTAAAATGTACTTATTAAAACAAAAGGAGGGAATTGGAAAGGGGTATATATCCCCCAAAGATAAACTTAAAATAACCCTTTTTACTCTAAACTTTTTAAATTTGGATTCATCAGGGCTTAGTGCTGCGGAAAGACATTTGTATCCAAAAAATGTACATAAGACTAAGGTACTTTGGAAGGATATTCTAACAGGACAATGGAAAGGTCCTGACCCAGTGATTGTCTGGAGTCGGGGCTCTGTTTGTGTTTTTCCACAGGGAGAACAGCAGCCGATTTGGATTCCAGAGAGATTAACCAAAACAATTTCTACAGACCAAAAGGAAGATGATTTGACTCAAATCCATAACAGCTGATATCCAGAACTCCAGCTTGGCTATTCTTACATCTGCGACAGTGATTAACCAGGATGCTTTTTTCAATATCTATTTTATTATTGCTTTTTCCCACATCATAAAGTTCTATTTTATTTTTGAGCTCATACAGACCTAGGTTAATGTTTTTCTGATCAGTTTTATTTTTTGACTGTGGAGTTTTTAAACATTGCAATGGAGATTTCACCTAGGTAAAGCTACAAGGCCTTTACTATTGTCTTATGTGTTGTATGTTACGTGTGCACACTTCTGTTTTGTGTTATATGTCTGTTTGTGCGTATGTCCATATATCATATATGAGGAGCACTCATGAATATGGATCCGAATTTTTTTTATTATTCTCGTGATTTTAATAGTTTAATTTAATTTGGGTAAACAGCTGTTGAGGATTGTTTTAATATATGAACAAATAGGAGGTTAACAGATCTGTTTGTTTACTTTCACCTTTCCTTTTCATTATATTTAATAATTCTGTTCAGGATAATGTAAATTGTTCTAAAAATTGTTTTCTTAGTACCTGTTGAAATGTTACATATTTTTTTTTAGCATCATTGTCAGAATTCCTATTTTCATCCCAGTGCCGGTGAAGACAAAGATGAAACCAAACTACAACTTCTTCGAGAGTTATCACAACAAACTGTATAAACTGATACATCAATGATTAATAACTCAACAAGTAATGCTCAATCAATGAATCGATTTATTTTGAGAGGATATTGACATATTGATAGATTCCTCCACTTTGAACTGCTTACAGAACTTGCCTGGACTATGTATCACTTGTATGCATTGTGATCTATCTGTTGATGCAGCGAATTATGGTAGTGCTAGCGTATCTTTGCTGATGTGTCACCAGTGATGCAATTTTTCCTAGGAGCCATCAATTGACTTGGTGTCATGGCATTTCTGTATCCTCCTCCCTTCTACTAGTGATGGTCTAATTTTGGGGGCCAACAGAGGTGAGGCAAAGAACCTCACCCCCCCCCACTGGTTCATAGGCCTATCCACAAGTATGGCTATATGCTGGACTGGTAGTCAGTGACGGGTATGATCCAATTGCAGTGTTATCAACCTAAGACAGGAGGCTGATGCCTAGAAGTCAGTTTTCCAATGACGGGTAAGAACCATATGTTGAATTGGACAAACCTAACAGGCATGGTCCCTAGCCACATTGCTTGTTGCTTAATTAAACAGAAGGGGGGAGATGCTAAGAGTCAGCCAAGTATATGATGCATGGCATTTTTGGTTGAAAGGTGACGCCAGCTAGCCATTGAGATGATATGATTATGTTAAGATTTGCATTCATATGGATATTGGACTCCTGCTGTTCACCTCAGCCTGCTATGGGACTCCTGGAGAGTTCCCATTGGTTGGGGAAGTACAGTAGGAGGGATTTCTGGGGGAGGAATTTCCTCTGGGGGTTCGGGGAGAACACCGCGTGTGTGGATCGGCAATCTTCCTGGGGGGGCGTACACAACATTGGCGGCAGTTTCAAAAAATAAAGTTTGTTCCTGCTTGAGTGGCTCGTGATTTTTGTGCCTAGCCAGACTGCAGCACCTTTATACTTTCAGACAGTTCTCTCCATAAGTATTTATATTATGCTTGCTTTATGCCAGACATTGTTACGAGTGGTTTAGATAAAACAACAACAACAATAATGACAACAAAACTATATTGCATAGTGTTTATGTTGTACCTGGCAGTATTCTAAGAACTTTACAAATACTAACTCAATTGGCTCTATGATGTAGATATTATCATTGTTATTATAATTTCATTTTACAGACATGTACAGTGAGGCACAAATAGATCAAGAAACTTAATTGAATCCAGGTAGCTATTGAGATGCGATTTAAATTCAGTTATTTTGGGCTCCAAAGTTTATGCTCTTAAACTAAACTACCAGGAATATATTTTAAGGGCAGAATTATATCTTTATCCCTCCAGAATCAAATTGAACTACTCTTTTGTAGTCACTGTTTTTCTTTAATCAATTTTTTTTCCATTACTGGGGATTGAAGTTGCAGCCTCTGTGCCTAGTAAGAACATAACTCCACCACTGAGCTACATCCCCATATATTCCCTGTCCCCAACTTCCTTTTTTCTATTCCCTTTCCTACACCTTTTTCTTCTTTGGGGAAATATTTCAATAAAGTGCAGGGATGGAGCTGCTGCAGCTCCTGGAGACTTTCCCTGGCCTCAATATCATAATTTCCATGACTGAAGAGGGAACCCAGTGAGTTCTGCATGTTCCTCCTAAGTTCTTGCTACCTAAATTGCTTTCTTGTGAGTCCCTTCTCTTTCCTCCAAATCAGTGTCATTTCCATAATCAAAGACACTGTGATCACTGTTCCCATTATACTCTGTTTCCCTAGGGCTCATTCCTGGTCATGAAGACCCATCCATATTCATTTGGTAAGTACCTGAATTTGATGTTGTGTTACCTACTCCCCAACCTTTTTATAATGCTTTCATTGTAGTCTCTGAAATTAAGGTCCATCTTCAGCAAAAATCCTATCTTTCACAATTTCAGTGAACTTTCCCTTCACCTTTTGGCTTTAACTGAAATCTAAAGATATTGCTTCTTCATCCTCAAATCATTACTAAATCTGTAGGTAAGGCATTGTTCCTGTTCCCTGTAGGCACTGCCAAACTAGTATCCTTCTCTTCTATTTAAAACCTCTGGTTTCTCTGAAGTTCATGCCATCATACTAAGCTTTACTTGCATTGTTGTTATTGATATTTACTTCTCTCCTCCTTACTCCTAGATTATAACTTCTGACTGTTTCTGCATCATTTTCCCCTTTACATTTCCCTGGAGTTTCCATGTCACACAGATGGCAAATCAAATACCCTGGCCTGAGTTCCTTGATGTCTTCTTTCATCCATTCTCCCCAGCCACCCACAGATTATAATAGTACCTCATACATTATTTCAAATGCAATTTGAAATTAATTTTCTAATTCATTCCATTCAGTATTTTAAGAGTTGTTGAATCACACCAAGACTTCCAATCCATTAACACTTCTATCTTTGCCTGATCCTTCATCTCTTTGTGTATTCTTACCTCCTTATCTGGGTTAGATTCCTTTGCATTCACCCCGGCCACTTCCCTTAGAGCTCTTTCCTTGACCTTCTTCCTGGAAAAATCCAAACAATTGCTTCACTTATGCTCAAGTAGCTGAATATGTTTAAAAAAACACACACAAATGTGCTATGTTCTCTTTTTAAATTCAAAGCAATTCATGTCAAGTGGGCCCTGGATTGTAGACCCTTAGAATTTATCGAATTTTATGGATGGTTATTTCATTCCTCCTCTGACTTCAAACCTCCCACATCTATTTTCCCTTTTCAGCTGATAACCTACCTTCCTATTTAACTGAGATAATAGAAAATATCAGATAATAAAAATATCATATAATAGAAAATATCAGAAGTTTTAAATTATTCATCTACTAGTCTTTCTGAACCTGTACCCCCATACTAGTCTATCCTTTTCTTACAATGAATAAAGCATCCTTGCCAGTCCTCTGCTCTTGGATTTTCTCATCTTTTCAAGGACATTGTTTGAATGTTCCCTCAACATAATCCCCCTCTTTATTTGGCCATATGTGTCATCCTGAATGACTCCCACCTACCAACACCAGCACCCTTGCTTTGATTCTGTAACTCCTGTCAGCTAATCAACCATTTTTTGTTTCCATGTATAGGCAACAAATATTCTGTTCAATTCTTTTCCCTTCATTTCTACTTGAAACCAGTAGAATCAAACAGTTTCCACTCTACATTTTTAAAGCTCTTATCTGACTTCCATGTTGTAACATCCAAAGGGTAAGTTCAATCTCCCTTTCCCTTGACCTAATAGCATCATTTGACAAATTTGATCTGACCACCTTCTCTGAAAAACCACACTTAGCTTCTTTTGCTGATTCCTTCTCATCTTTCTCACTTGTTGGAATGTTTCAGGGCTTAGTTCTCATCTACTTTTCTCATATACATGTTATTGGTTGTGCCACCCACTATCCAGTTCTACAGCTTTAAAATCCATTTGTAGATTAACAACTCCAAAATTTGTATCTGTAGACTGAATGTCCTTCTTGAAGTACAGACTCAGGCCAAATGGACTACTTGTTATCTCCACTTGGAATTTAAAAGGCATTTCAAATTAATATGTTCCAAATTGAATTCTGGTTCCTTTTTCCACTCAATCACCACCACTAAAGCTGCTCTTTCATACTTTTTTTCCATCTCAGTAAGTTACAAGTTTATTTTTCTTGTTAAAGCCAAACCTCCAGATTAATTATCAAAGAGGTATCTAGAAAGGTAGAAACTTCAGGGCAATTCAACCAGACCTGCCCCCAGATAGTCATAAAGGAGAGATCATTGTTGTCATTTCATAGACCCTTTGGGAAATATTTGAAGACACCCCACAGGTAAGCTGTCTAAGGATGTTGCCCCAATTGTCTTATACTTGAGACAGTCTAGTATCTTGATTATTTTATTACCATACATGCAATTTTTTTCATTAATTGATTATATTTTTAAATTCTATTGGAATGTAATCTTTCCTTACCCACCCCCAAATAACTGTCTTAGCAGAGAAGTCTTTCCTGATAATGCTCTTAAAAACATGACCTTATTCTTTCATCTTCTGTTTCCTTGCTTTGCTTAATAGCATTTATTATTACTGACATCTGTTACGTTACCACTGACATCTTTTACATTTATATATTTTCTTTATCCTTCAACTTATGTAAGCTCCATGAGAACTGAGACCCACTACTTCCTGGCACAGAATAGGTGTCTAACTGTGGTCAACCTCTATTCCAATTTACCCTATTCTGACAGAATATAGTAATTTTATTATTTTCATTGAATAAATCTATTTGCTTCATTCTTTAAGTTACTTCATCAAATATTCTAGGGAATACAAAAATGAGTAACACATTGTATGTGTTACTCTATGACACTCTCTGGTCATGTCAACATCAAAACCAATCTTTTAACTCTACTTGGAGTGGCATTTTAAGAGACCTTTCTTAATCTTTCTGGGAATATATGATCTCTGTCTTTAACTCAATTGTTTCTCTGTCTCACAATGATGATAGATAACATTACAGGTTCTAGAGTAGGATAAAGCTATTTTGATTCGAGGTTCTGCCACTTTATAGCTTACTAGGTAAATTATTTCTAACCTTAGCCTCAGATTCCTTATCTCTTCATGGAAACAATAGTACCTGCCTCATTAGTGTTACTGTAAGGACAATGTATGAAATTAAATAATGCATATAAAGCCCTCAGCAAATTCCCACCACATGGTGAGTATTTAACATATTTGTTCTTATTAATTTCATTATTTTATACTATCTTTCCTCTTTGACTATAAGCTGCAAAAAGGCAAATACAATGTGTTACTCATTTTTGTATTCCCTAGAATATTTGATGAAGTAACTTAAAGAATGAAGCAAATAGATTTATTCAATGAAAATAATAAAATTACTGGTACTTCTTGATCCCTATTTCTAAAGCAATGTAAGCTGAAGGACTCTTGCATGGCATTTATTTAAACCAACTAATCATAAAAGGATATATGCTGTAAAATTGGGTATTTGAGCTTTTTCAGAATCTCTACACAATAGATTGGAAACAATGTACTGCCATCTACTGATAATTCATTAGAATTGCATAAATCAATGGGAATTGAACTTCAGAGCCAAGACTAAAGGACTTTTTTTTTAAAGAATTTTTTTTTCACAATACTTTAATTTTATTTATTTATCTTTATGTGGTGCTGTGGATTGAACCTGGCACCTCACATGTGCTAGGCAAGCACTCTGTCACTGAGCTACAGCCCCAGACCAGAACTTTCAAACATGTTTTTAAGTGAAGTTAGAACATAGCTAGCCGCCATCCAAAAGGAATTAATAAATCAAATCATTAAAATTTTATTAGATAGCTATTATATCCCAGTGTTAGGATTTACTGAAACTAGTGTTTTTTCCCTTTTATGACCAAGCACTGAAATTACAATTTCAGGATATTGTAAACAGAAAGAAACAGAAAAGGTTTGTTTTGTTCCTTAGCTCTCTAAGATAATGCAGGCAGTATTCATATGTTATCCACATTGCTTCAAGCTTTCTACCAAAAGTACAGTTTCCTCTCAGTATATAGACATGTTTTGTTAGTATCTACCAACATCTCATTTGGGAGTGTTGACATAAAGGCACTGGTCTGGAACTCCAATCATGCTTTAAAGAATGCCCAGGCAACCATTGCAATTTAAATATCCCTGCCTTTGTGACAGAAATAATAGGTCTTTGGTAAAAGCTAGTCATACCCCCCCTGCCTGTCTATTTAGGACACTAAGGGACAAGATTTTTGTTTTGTTCTGTTTTAAAACTCTGAACAAGTAAGCATCATTTCTAAACCAAGAAGGGTTTTTTTTAAAAAAAAGAGAGAGAGAGAGAGAATTGAGAGAGAATTTTAATATTTATTTTTTAGTTTTCGGTGGACACAACATCTTTTGTTTTGTATGTGGTGCTGAGGATCCAACCTGGGCCTCACACATGCCAGGTGAGCGCGTTACCGCTTGAGCCACATCCCCAGCCCCAAGAAGAGTTTTTGGTGGTTTGAATGGTGGTTCCCAAGATATGTCTGTCCGTGTCCTAATGCTCAAAACCCACGAATGTTACCCTATGTGGAAAAAAAAGAAGAAGAATAAGAAGAGATCTTTGCCAATGTGATTTGGTTAAGGGATTTTGTGTGGGCCCTAAATTCAATGGCAGGTGTAAGAATAAATATGTAACCATTCAATGGCCCGACGATTAAAATAAAAATCAGAACTCTGAGAAACAATCTGCAGCAACTTACCCAGGAAGCCAACTCACTATCTATAGTAAGCAGTCAAGAAGCCAATTTGTTATTTATAAATCAGACATGTAGGAAGTCAGAACACTATCTCTAGTAACAACCCAGGAAACCAAATATAACAAGTGCCCCCAAATAGTCACTCCCTGATTAATGATGATATTTTCCCTAATTCTTATCTCTGCTTCCAACTTGGGACCAACCAGAAAACACCAAACCAAAACACCCCTGATGAATCACATTGGATGCTTCACTTCTAATTAGCCTGCCTGTAGCTTCCCTATGTCTATACCTACAATCAAGTCATACCCACTCCACTTCCTGCCTCTGATTCAGCTAAAATGCAGATGGTAGCTGACTTCCTTGCAACCTCTGAACAATTAGTCTCTGCTTGTTCTCATTTGGTTGATCTTCCATTTATTTTCAAACTGTCCTTATAAGAGAAATATATAGAGAGATTTGATACTCAGATGCCGGGGGGTGACGAGGAACTTGTGTAGATTGATACAGCAGGAGTAGGAGCCATTTATTGTAGGACAGGAGGGGTATATATACATTCCACACAGCTTATCTTAAATAACATAAAATACAGCAGTCAACCAATAAGGAATCACCACACTTAATGGCTCGCTGGCGTTACTTCACAAATCACTCCCTCTGGCAAAATGCCAGGCGTCATCCTGACTTGTTTACAGACTCTAACATTTCCCCCTTTTGTTTAATTTAAATAACGACCATAGTGGTTTTTACACAAACACCATAAATAATCTGCTACAAGCAGAAGGGTAGGATACAAAATGTCACAATACCAAGCCACTTGATGGCTCCATGCAAGAAGCCCTTGGAAAATTATACCAGCAATGACACCATTAGCAAAGATACAGTTTGTTGTCTCAGTCCAGGTAAAGCAGTGTCTCAATAGATTAACTCACAGTCCAGGTAAATCACAGTCCAGGTAAATTCTGCAGGCAGCTAGCTTAAATCACAGTCCAGGTAAGTTCTGCAGGCAGCTAGCTTGATCTGAAGTCTCGTCCGTTTTTCAGCCGAAGTTTCGTCCAGTTTTCAGCAACACTGGAAATTCTTCCACCCTCATCCTCACTGGCACTGGGATGAAGGCAGGAACTCCAGCAATGATGCTAAAGACAATCCTGTAGCATTCCACTAAGAAAACAACCTTCTGAACAATTTAGTACATTATCTCAAGGTTTTTTACATTTGAAATAAGCCTTAATAGTGCTTATTATTCATTAGCTTCCAGGTGTGGGAGAACTATTGTAGCTTAGTTATTGGCACTGAAAATGACCAAACACCAGGGATGCCGGTAGCGTCTTCTGCTGGCTGTAGTGTCCTGGGCAGCCCCAGATGGCCCCGGAGAGTGTCCTGGACTCAAACTGCTACTGGGCACAGGGAGCAAGAGCCTGCAAGACTGTGCCTCCAGGTCAGGTCTAGATTTGGGCTCTTGCAATGGCGTCCCACTCCCCTGAGTGGGGGGCAGGGAAGAGCCGGCTGCTGCTGCTTGGAAAGCCCTTGCTGCGCCATGACTGGCTCGCGCACGTGGCGGCCACTGCACTGATTCACGCACCCTCCGGTAACAAAAAGTATTCAGTAATAGCCTTTTGTTGCAACTTTTTTTCTGATAATCCTTCTTCTTCTTAACTTTCTTTTTCTTTCTGACTAGAGTTCCTGGGCTTCCATCAACACATGCCCTAATTGCTCTTGGTTCCACTGGGGTGCCTCTTTCCATTATCAATTTACTTAACACCCCTTCCATATTTTCATCACAAACACAATACAATACACTGAGACAAAACAAGACACAAACATACTGTATCAATCTTCTCCATTTTCTCAAAATGGCCATTTTTCCTCTCGCCCTATCTGCCTAGGGACGAGCAGATTTGCTCCCGTCCTATCTTTGGACGGGCAGCTTTTTTTCGTCATTTACCCCAGAGTGTCCCGGGGCTCCCCGTACGGGCCACCATCTGCCGGGGGGTGACGAGGAACTTGTGTAGATTGATACAGCAGGAGTAGGAGCCATTTATTGTAGGACAGGAGGGGTATATATACATTCCACACAGCTTATCTTATTTAACATAAAATAGATACAGCAGCCAACCAATAAGGAATCACCACACTTAATGGCTCGCTGGCATTACTTCACAAAGCACTCCCTCTGGCAAAATGCCAGGCGCCATCCTGACTTGTTTACACACTCTAACACTCAGACACACAGAAAGACCAAGTGAAGATGGAGGCACAGACCCCTAAGTCAGGTAGTCACCAGGCTGGAAA